AATTTAATTACGCGATCCGCTCGTGGATCCTGATGTAACCTAATGTTTACGTTGGTTGGTGTTAACCATGATGTCTGTGGTATAACCGACACTGACTTGGTGTTGGCTACTGGCCAGGGACCTGTAATTTTCGAGGTGTCCGAACCACCGAAAATTTGCCAATACCGCGCCGGAAGTTCTTACATCTTGTTGGATGTTCACCCACCCTGCTAAACGTAGTCGAAGCAGTTTAATTTGATGACCGTGCGAGTACCGAAGCCTTCCGCACGGTGCAGCCGTGTTGACTCGTCCTTCGACGGCCGGTTTAACAAGTTAACGCCCGAATTGAGTTCCAAGTTTTATCGTCGTATAATGGAAACTGTTCGTGGTACCGAGTATTTAATCACTTTCGATCGACGTCACTGTGTCTCGAACTAATGATACATGGTCGTCTCTGTATTCGAGTTCTCAGGACTCCCCCTGTATTGCAATTATGACATATTATATTTAGCTAGCTTCGACTGCCCCGTTAATTTAGATCTACAGTTTATTTATTTTTCCTATTTTCCAACGTCCCCGTCAGAAAATAATTGCTACCAAATCACACGAAACGATGTTTCCCGATGGCCATGCATTATCACCGATAAAAACACACATCGTCGACTCGGTATAATAAATTTCAGCGAATCACGCGGATGGAATTCGGTCGAAAAACCTGTTACCGATTTCGTTGCGACCCGTTGCGAATTTAACCGCTTAATTAAACGGCAGAGCAACGCTGCGCGCTTTTTTAAAACACAATCGGGAACGCGTTCATTTCATTAGACAATCAGGTTGCCGTGCTTCTGCGATCATTTTCCGGATCAGTCGTTCCCGCAGATTTCGCCAAAAATTATTTCCTTCGATCGTATTTATCCGCGTGAAAATTAGTTGTCGCGTTCCGCGGATGGTAAATAAAAACGGGATTTAAAAAATGACGAAAATTATGATACCGTTTTAATGTGAAAAGATCCCCGGGGATTGTTCCAACGTGATTTTCGTGCCCCGGGAATCGGGAGAAGAGGAATTCCGGGATTCCCGAATCTCGGTAAACGGAAAATCCCGAAAAAAAAGAGCAGAATAACTGCTCGCGTCTGGCTGTTTCATACGGGGGATGGCAGATGTTTCGGAATTTATGTCGCTGGTACGGGAAGCAATCGAATTAAAAGTCTGCCCCCGCAGCTTCCGGGTGGCAGTGTACTTTCATCGGGGCCGGGCGGAAACGTTTTAACCTTGAAACAAGGAAGTTCGACCGAGTTAGCGAGCCAAGCGACAGTCCACAGGTCCGCAGCTATTTTCCGACGGTCGTAAAAACCGATAATGGGCCGCAAACCCATCGACGCTGACCGTTTTAATGAAACTATTATGGCGTTTCGCAGCGCCCCGTCGAGTTTACCCGTGATAAAATAGTTGGTCGCGACATGTCGCTTCCGGTCCCTACTAGCGGTTCAAATTCGTTGCTTCTAATAATCGTCTCGTTAGTTTCTCTGCCTATGAAAATCTATCGTCTTTGATCGCTGTGGTACCGTCGAATATGATATTTATTATATTTCAGAAACGTCTTAATTTACAGTTTGGTTAACAATCGAAATATTGAGCGACTCGATACGCAGACAATAAAATTGTTTCGTCGTAAAAACGAAGAGTACACGTTTGGATGAAATTTGTACGTGGCACGATATAAATGCTTCATTATAATCGCTCACGAACGCAATGATTTCGATATTTACCCGCCCCCGTGTCGAACTTTTTCAATGGAAGCTGCAGATATTCATTTTCGGTGCGCGTTCTCCGACAGTTTTATATCGACGCGTCGTATTGTTTATTCATCAGCATCGATACGTATCCTTTTAATTTCCCGGTGCTCTTTTTATATAACCTCTTTTTAATTGGCTTTCGCGCGATGCTCGTTCATTACATTTTTAACGGTCCGATTGCCAAATTTTCGTAATCCTCGGCGCGAATATTCGCGGCGTAAAATAATATTTTGCGCCGGGCACTGTTTCGCGCGCAATTTGATCGGAAAAGTATATTCCTGTGCATGTAACGTGGCGCAAGGTACCGGCGAAGAAAATAGCTTACAATTAACTGTAATTAACTGCTATTATCTGTGATCAACCGTTGCCCCGATTCTCTAAGCCAATTTCATTGTTCGAAAAGTAAGTACGATATTTCCATAGTAATGGTTCCGTTGCTAAATCGCTCGCAGAGATACTCGAGAAACTAATTACACGGCGAACAAGATTATTATTTACAGATCCAATAAATACGTTCGTTGCAACGATGATTTACTTCATCGAATTGGGGTCTGCACGCACGGGTTTCGATACAGTTTCATAAAACGCGTTCGCGTAAATCGTATTCGCGGTTTTCTAAAGTCGAGAATAAATAAATCCTGAACTATCCACGGATTTAAGACGACAATCCAGAGAGCGATAACTCAACTACGCGTCTCTGTAAGGCGTAATAATATCGCCAAGTATGTTAACAGTACCACTTTCGTTCGCGTGAACAGTAACTGCGAGCATTCCGCGCGGAATGTGTATCTACGCAGGTATGTTACATATTGCGCGTGTCACTTCAAATTCGCGAAATGCTACGTTCAAGACCCGCCACGGGGAATTCGCGAAAACGTATATTCTCGGGGCTGTCCCGAGGAGGATTCCACGGATGGAAATCGTTTCATAACGTTTCGCGTCCCGCCCGAGTACGCCCGATCCGCAGTTTACAGTTTCGAGGAACCGGAGGGGTGTTCAAACATCCGAATTAAAGCGAATACATGGAATTATTTTTCCACGGAATCGAACCCCGTAACGGCCAGAAACGCTGTTGGTAAACAACGTTTCATATTAAAACGGAGTGTGTACGATCAGCGTAAATACGACCGACGTCCATGATTTTTCGAAAACTCAACGGCGCAAGGCTTTGTTGTTCGTTTTACAGGGGCAAGGAAGAGCGAAGGGAAGGGTTGTTGCGTCGCGACTATAATAAACGCGCATCGAGTTCACGGATAACGCGATAACCGATGAACCTTTAATTTCCCAAGCAGGTAACGAAATTCTCCGAACACGGTGCTAATAGCAGTCACTAATGGATTGTGGTTTACACACGGATTCCATTGCTCGCATTCCCGCAGCGGTTTATCCATCTGCGCTTTCACGTATCAACGGATTCCCTTCCTTCCTGACTACGGTGGCTCGTTTCGCGCCACGGTTATCGCTTCCTACGGAAACGTACCTGGTATCGCCATTCGCGAGCTTCCACGGCCGATCGGAGATGGACGAAACTCTTGACGAAACACAAACTACGAATAACAACGAATAAAACGAGTTCCACTGCCTGCGATTTGTAGATCGATCGAGGTATATTCGTAACGCGTTAGTAACCGATTATCCTTATTCTTTACACGCCATTACACCCCTAATTTTTTATTTATCGCCGACCAACGGTGTGCATTGTTTACTCGTACGATACCCCTACCAGTTATCTGTACATTACTTGTTTTCTCAATATTAAAAAGAAAGTTTTGAAAATTCCATTTGAGATCTGTATTATTATAAACTGGCACTATCGACAGGAACGACTTCGACGCAGACGAACATAATAGAATAAATTGTTACGTCTATGACTCCTATTGAAGAGAACGTGACCTAGAGGGTCCTCGTAACGATTCATCATGCGACAAGTTGTGCACTTATTGAAAGCATTCTGTGTACGGTAACATTCATCCTGCGATTTTAACTCCGTGACGAAAGTTTCGACGCGAAACGGGAAAAGTCTGCAGACGCAGTGCTTTCGAGAAAGCAGAAGCAGAAGCAGAAGCAGTTTTCAACCGTAAGGTCAAACAATAGAACCGCTTGGAAACCCATTTGTGACCTGCATTTTTCCTTAAAATAAAATTCCGTGATTCGAAAACCCTCCGAAATACCGGTTTTATAATGAAAGACGGGGATGTGTCAGCAAGCGTATTTTTTTTATCGCGTTTTTCAGGGTCCCTGGCCATTGTACGTCGTAGATCGTAATTAGAAATGTGCGAAAACGAGTTACGGTCATGTGTGGGTGTCGATACCGGGCACAAACACACGCGTCGAATTAGTTGGGAGACTTTCCTTTGAAGCCATCAGCCAATAGTGTCGTGTGTCGTTGTACGCGCCGAAGTAAAACGATAGTCCGGGTAGTCATTATTGGAAGGGGACTAGCAATTTACGGCTTAAGTGTCAATCGTAGGGCGGATACCAACGCTACAGTTAATTCGCTTTGATTCTTACCCTATTGCACGCGTACCTCCCCTCTCTGCCCTGGGCCTATCGTGTAACGAGCTCTGTATCGTGAACTTCGTGGCTGGGAAAGAGCAATTGCTTGCCTTGGCTGCGAAGCGTTACTTTGTGCCACGAGCACTCATCCAGGGAGACTTTTGCGTCTAAGGTTGTAGAACAGGTTGGGAAACATTCGAATACAAAAGATTAACCCCGGTGTACCGTTCGATTGTCAATTTAAAAACGTAACCTACTGACCTATCTGGTTAATTGGCATTTTGGCGTTGCCTCCGGCACATCACCGTGAAACGAAAAAGTCAGGTGAACGCGTGTTCAGGTTGATGAACTGCAAAAGAGAAAAATTTGCATATCGCCGAGAGCACGATAAATTAAAGAAAGCGGAAGCTGGAGGGCGAACCGGGTCTAGGTAAATTAAGAGTCACTGCAACTGTCGAAATTGAGCTTTGATGTTCGTAACGGCGTGCTCGATTCCGAGTGGTCAACTGCTCTTGATTACCCCTCGAATTACGGTTCATATTTTCGACATTAACACGTTGGAGACGGATGTGTTGGTTAAAATAGTTGTGAGAGGATCCTAAGGTCAAAGTGCATCGCACGTGACCTATAAAGTACCTCAACGTGTAACGCTTAATTTTTTTCAGTTCAGGTTGTTAAATATGGAAATCTGCTTGGTATTGCATTCTAATATCTCACTGTTTGTTTCAGGTGAGAAGATCTTTTAATTAACGTTGTCTTCGTCCTCGGGAAATACCGGGAGCCAACAGTGGAGGAAGCTGAGGATTCTTTCACGAGTAAGTAGCACGGAGACTCTTTTAGACCATCTAATTTCGTTCTATAAACCCAAGTACAGTGCCCGAGTGTCGCGTTTCTCGTAATTCAGCCTGTATAATGCTGTCGCTAAATCGAAATGCAGAAACAGCTTTCGAGGCAAAGCGGTGGAGTCAATGGATACTCGAAAAGCATTCGTAATTTGTAAAACACTTTCAATCATCGTCGCTTCCCAACATTTTCAGCTTCCGTTTCAATGGCCCATGCTTCGTTTAAAATTTATTTTTCGAATTGTTTCAATTACCGTTCCACGCAGGCGCGAGCATTTATTAATCCCTTTCCAGGTACGATTCTGGAATAACCTTTCTCGAACCCTCTGACCACATAATTTAAATTCGAGTAAAACACGCGCGTGATTCGAACAGATTCGAGATCTATTTTCTGGGGACCAAAGCTCCGTATGGAAAAATATTAAGCTACATCGCGTGAAATCTGATTTTCGGTAGCACGATCCGTGGCGAGTCATTCTCTATTTCCGTGGAGATGTATTCCCACGACTGTCGAGCGTTTATACGTGATCGTAGCATCGCGCCACACCGTGAATACACGTCTACTCGCCTGGGCGAAGTACCGAATAATTGTTCCTGAAACGGCGGCCTTTTCCAGGAACGATTGACGGTCTCGCGTCTAATTCGTCCCGACCGTTCGTGCTGGGAAAATAGGTTGGATTTGAATAATAGTTCTCTTACATCCGGTTCACACTAGAGAAGCGTGCACGGTCATGCAAATTTTGAGTAACTGTTTTAGAATATGTACCGAGCTCGGCGCAGTGGCTCGTAAACTCTGTGTATAGTCAGCCAACACGCCGCTCTGCCTATATAATATGTTAATGACACATCATTAGATCCGACCACAGGTAAACGATCTCGCGGAATATTTATCGGTTTTTACCCTCGGAACGGAGAAAGCAGAAGCAAGAAAACGGTGTGAAATTAATCGAACAATTGCTTAAAAATACCTTACAGAAATTAAAGAAGAAATATTGTTTCTTTCGACCAGCGTTGTTCTTGGTGTTCGCTTGACGAATTCGTGTTCGAGAATCATTGTCTCTGTATTGGATTGCATTGAAAATTCTTTCAAACGAATACGAGGAAACGACCTTACAAGTGCCCGGACGATTTTCAGCACGAAGGCTGTATTGCTTTCTCGTGTAAAAGAGCTGTTATTATCGATAACGACACTCGAAAATAAATCTCTCGAGTGGACACCGGTTATCAGTAAAGAATCCTTTACTAAATCCAAGATAAAAAATTGTTGTGCTTGCTTTTATAACACAATATATCTCTCGAGTATGAATGAAACAAGGTTGGTGCTTATCTTCCCATTTAACGTTTTCGTGAATCAGAAAGAAGCTGTGTTTTGATAAAAAAATATGCACTTTCATCCGTAAATGCGCACTGAATAAAATTGCATTACAAGCCTTGTGTAATGTTCCCCGTTAAAATTTTCATTGTACGTCTAAAATACGTAGAATTAACTGAAAAATTTAATTTTCTTTTCATTGAAATATGTTCTGACTTTGCAAACGAATGCACCTCTTATTCACGATGAACCGTCGGTGAATTATTTTATTATACTTTTCTCTCAATTCCTTGTATTACACTCGGAAGCAGCTTTAAAAGTCTTTCTCTGTTCTTGGAAATTTAATCCTACCTATTCTGTGCCGTTCGTATTATATTTTAAGCGCATTCATTTAAATTCACTATTGTCTTTTTTTTTAAAAATGCTGCTATAACTCTCATCGATTCAAAATTCCAATCAATTCGAGTGGGATCTATTTTTATTCGTACGTACGAATTTACCTATATCAAAGCAAAAGTAACAATTTCTCTGATGTTTCACGAAGGTATTCCGAAAGAATCGACGCATTGAAATGGAAAGCATATCCAGGTTTCTCGCGCGACAACTTCGAACACGATCGCAAAGAAAACGAACGCGGAAATTAATTAAAAATATTTCCATCGTCAAAGCACGCCTCGTTACTTTTCGATTCTCGTCATTCGAGGCCGTTTCGACGTGAAAATACGACGCGTGTAATTTACAGTTACAATGGGAGGCGTGCAACGCGCACCGACGCGAGAGATTTTTATTCGGCGTCAAAAACGTGGCTCGCGGTTGTAAAAATTTTACGGGCTCGCGCCGTGGGCGAAATTTTTCCTCTGCAGCGTCTTCATTACGAATACAAACTCTGGTTCGCGTATACGGCCACCAATGTGGCGGTTTCATTTTCGTGATTTGTATTTTGGCAGTCCACCGTATTTAGGAAAGTTTAAAATACTCTGTAACAGCGTTTCTTAATCCGATGGACTTCCTAGAAATCATTAATCGTCCGACTGTCTATCTGTGGATTCGTTGGAGACGGGTTCCACGATTTCAGAATTTGCTTTCCCCCCCACGCGCGTTCCTTTACTGTGCTATTGAAAGGCGCGCGAAGGAAATGAAAAGTAAAATGTGTGTACGACGATGTCTGCACAGGAAACCGGATGTACACAGATACCAGGCGCTGGCAAATGAAAATCTGCATGGAGATCGCGACGGATTCGCGACGTTCGGATCGGAAAGCGATATTTATCGAAGTCACTTTTATCGCTGCACTCGACCGAAATTACAGCGGATACGTCTTTAGAATCGTCGCGACTATCAATGGTGCACCAAATAATCTAGCAAGATGACATCGACGATAAATTAAATAATTTAATACCTTTCGATGCGGTACAAAACTTTTATTCTCGATACTGCGAGTATGAAGTTCGAAGTCTGAAAAACTTGTATTCGTTTTATTGAGATGCACGGTTCTGTAGTTTCGTCATCGTCGTCGTCATCGTCGATGTTGTGGCGAGGTTTGCTCGTACACGCGCGATTGAATCGAGTCGCGACAAAGTCGGTCGCGCTTCGACGGAACTGGGTCAACGGGCTAGGCGAGAGGGCTGGAAATGTTAAACAGTCGGGGGATGTTCGCGATGTATCAAGTGCTCAATTAAGCTGACGATGGTTAACTTTCGAAATTTCGAAAGGAAATCAGGCTTGTTACACTTTGACCGTGTTTGCGGCGCATCGCGCCCCCCCTGGAGTTGCTCGTTTAATAATTCATGCTTTGATTGTCTTTGGTAACGTCGATGGAGGGTGGATCCGTGAGGTTTAGGGCCACGAATTCCTGGTAACGTAAACTTTTTAACCCCTTCGTTTATCTAATTTAGAACTCGTTCCTGACGCGTTCTTCGCAAGAATTTTCAATACAACGCAAAATAATTTAGCGTAAATACAAAGAAGACGAAGTCGCAGTAGTTACCTCTTTTATCTAAACGCTTTCGAGCGAATTTAGAGTCAAAACGAGGAAACTCCGATGCCGTGCGTTTCTACCAATGTAGACTATTTACAAAGATATTTAACGTTGAAGTTTCGACAAACTGAATACTCGAATTCATCGGCTGAAGTAAGATTGTACGCGTATATAGCGTGTTTGAAGTTTACAGAGAGTTGCATCGAACTTACAACTTCCTAGCTTCGGGATCCAAAGTTCCTGCGTTCTAATCTCTGCTAAACAAACGTTCGTTCTTAATTTATGTACCAGAACGCGAAACAAATGAAACGAGAAGCGAGTGCGTAAAAAGCAAAGTGCAACTAAAGCGTTATTAAGAACCTAAAATATCGTAACAAAGTTTTTTACTATACAGGGTGGTAAAACGAGGGTGTAAGACTTTAGGGGCTCATGGTACTCGCCGAGGGGAATAAAAATTTCTTAATCAACGTGGATCCTGAAATCAATCTCGCCCAAGTAATATGTACTTTTATATTTACGAACATTTAATTAAGCATTTCTTTACTCCGCTCGGTGTTTACGAGTATCGATATTGGAACGATACGAGTACCGTCCTTCTGAGAGGACGGTAGTAATAGCTGGATTAAAAGGTATATTTCCGTAGCCTCTGCAAACTGGCGACGCAACAGATACGCGATCGCGTTGTCTAATCGATATTTAATGCAATTTGCATGTAGGGGCGTTCAGTTTGCCCAGCCGCGTCGTTGTTCCCGCAATCATTCCGTGATTTCCGCGATACAATAATAATTTGGGACGCGCAACTGTCGTACGATACGCTGAATACCGTGGGGAATTGTTATACCGTGACGAACGAGGAATTTTTAAATGGAGACTCGGTTTCTGAATAAATATCCTGATCTCCGCGACGCGTTTTTTCTACCGCTGGTTCCCTCTTTGGCTCCTAACTATAAATTGAAATTGAAATTGTACGTATAAATAACTATGATAAAATTGAACACAAGAACCGCGACAATAGTTTATAGTATCGAGAAGCCAATTCCGGCACCGAATTGGTTTTTACCGTTATTATACGCAATATAGAATCGTTTCGTGTTATATTCCGTACCCGATCATCAGAACAATTTTATTTGAATGATGTGGGACACAAAACCTTTTAAAACGGGAAATAAACGGTTGTTCTTCCGGTTGCTTGATATGTGTGTCCAGATAAGAATGTTGGTAATTTCTGATCCCTTTGACCATCGCGACATTGAGTCCGGATTTATAGGATACCGTGAATATCCATCGTGAATTTGGCTTGGCAGTCGCGTTCGCGCGTTTCATGGCACGTTGGGCAATCAATTGGTTCGAGTATGATTAGCTCGTAAAGTTGTATAACGGGCTGGGGGATCGTACAGTAGCACCTTATCGTCGTGCCTTCGCGCTGTCTATACGTCTGAATACGTTTAACGCTCCACTGGCCGAGAGGTCTTGGTGTAATAATTGAGCTATAGCCGCGTACGGACGTGGGTAGATCGACGAACCGAGGGGTAGGTCGAGTGGCTAATGGAATTCATCTGTGCCTCGTTACGTGGCATTTACCTTCCACTGGATTGTTCAACTAATTCCGCTATCGATTTCTTCGGAACTTTCGAATCCCGCTACCGCCGGAAATCAATGTCAAGTGGCCCGGCACGTTTCTTT